AGGGCTTGACTCTCACTCTCAATGCATTCCAGGTTGTGGAACATGGTTTGGGTCACCTTCCATTCACTGAAAAACAGATTATTACTCCGACAGGTAATATTAATTGACTTCATTGGTTAAATTATTTTACTCAGATTTCGCAATCAAAATTCACCAAGCGTAGCGAAATCTCATACTTTTATCTTCAGAAGTGATTAACTTTTCCTTGCTCCACCTTCTTTCAGCAAACACGATTGTGAAAATATGTTAATCATCAACACTTAGATTTCTTGCTATAATTTACTTCACTCAATCCTTCATCTACGCAGGATCAGTATACTGTGGAGTCGTTTTCTGCAAAAGACTGTGTGGCGTGTCGATCATTAGAAGGTAACCTATTTCAGCTGGTGGAAAATATCCACAAACTAGAAAAAAGAAAACCTACGAAATCCAAATTTAATAGCGGTTTATATCCTTGGAAAGCATGAAAGTAGTATCCGGGCCAATTGGAACTTGTGAAATGAATCACTCTCAATTCGTGGATTTATAAGAGTTTTTACGTTATTAACAATGTATCCATTGTCTAGTCACTTACTAATATATGTGAATATTTTTTTCTCGAACCAGTGGAGAAAGCATGGAAAATGCATTGAGAGCATGTTGCAAAGGTATCAAAATAGGCAAAATCTTAATCCACGGTGAAGGCAATAATGGTCGTCAGGTTTGTGCAGTCATCAACTCATCATTCTAAGTTTTGAAAACCGAACCTCTTTTCTACATTTCGTAAGAAACATTAAAGTAATAAAAAAAAAAATTGCTGCAGTTGATCTACGAAAAGCTGCCATCAGATATCGCAAGTCGCCACGTGTTGCTGCTTGACCCTGTTCTCGCCTCAGGTGCTCGCTCAATAAACTCAACACGTAAATCATATTCGCATGCCCTCATATAAATTTAACCTTCTGTTGTTGCTCAACGCCTTAGGGAACTCGGCCATTAAAGCAATTTCTGTGCTGCTCAACAAGGGTGTCCCTGAATCCAACATAATATTCCTAAACCTCATTGCAGTGAGTGACTAATCCAATTATTACATGCATTTATTTATTTTATTGCTTTTTTTTTTTCTTCCTGTCGTGTTTATCGAACAATAACCCAAGATGCAATAATGCAGGCTCCTGAAGGAATACACACTGTTTGCAAGAAATTCCCGAGGCTCAAGATTGTAACATCCGAGATTGATATGGCGCTCAATGTAGAGATGAACGTTATTCCGGGCATGGGCGAATTTGGCGATCGCTATTTTGGGACGGGCAGTTCTCGGAGAGAAATAGTGCCGAAATGATGCATTTATTTTGTAGTCTAGTACTTGATTCCTCATTCATAGTTTAAGCTTTTTGTAGAACTTCACATTCATTTATTCATAGTTGGAACTAAAATGGAAATTTGTTGTAGTACTTCATACTCCATAGTTTCAAATTTTTTTATTGTGATCAAAGTATCAGGTTCGAATTAGAGTTACTTGCCAGCCGTAAATTATGGTAAAGATTATTTTGATTATGAGCATATAAACGACCATCACATCAATTTGTAGACATCTCAAATCAGAAAATGAGACTCTACTTCAGAACCAACATATAATGAAATTAATTCAAAATTCAAATAGAATTCACGGACAAACTGATTTGTTTGCTTTGGAAAAGCAAAGAATCGAAACAGCAAGTACAGTGATAACGGGCCATTTCTCTTGTTCGCTTGATGATTTATACTCGCTCGCTATGTAAATGATGGAATAAATAGGGTAAACAAATGAGTACTGGATTTTTGGCTCAATTTGCTTACAAAAAAAAAAAAANNNAAAAAAAAAAAAAAAGAAATCTTCATGCCACATCTGTCTTCTTCTTCTTCTTCCTTGAGGCAAAGCTACTAGGCCCAATTTCTAGAGACATTCGCTTTGTCCTGCATGTCACAATTATCAACACTACAGCAAAAAAAGGGGACAAAAAAGTATGAAAATGTGGTTGAAAAAAGCAAATGTACCGTTTAGATATCTCTGCAGTTCCAATCTTATCCTCTTCAGCTCCCATGTCTGCTACAAGAAAATGGCATCACAAGCAAGAAACCAAGGAGTGTATATCTTATACTTGGACTATGAATCAAATAGATCCTATTTTTACTGATGCACGGATGACAGGATTTAAACCATATTCAGAAGAAAATGATTAAATGTTAATTGAATGTCAGATGCGTAAACTTTTGCAAATCACATTTTTGCACTACGCTGTGCCAAACTATATGTTGAAGTACATGGACTTATGTTGAAGTACTCGATATTTCAGAAGCCCTTTTCATAAAAAGATATTTTTGGAATTACAAATGCGTACCATCATCATCATTCTCATCATCTTCAGCCCCAGGCCCCGATTCTGAATCGGAGCCCCAACGATTACCCCCATCATCATGGTCCCACCGTTCACCTGCTGGGGGCATCCAAAAGTCAGCTTCATCTTCTTCAGAATCACTACCATTTCCAGCTGGGTCCCTTACTTCATTGATGATATCATCGATATTTTCTATCTCTTCCTCCATTTTCTTCTTATTCTTCTTCAAACAACCGTACTCGATTTTCTTCTTTTCCTTCTTCTTCTCTTCCTGCTTCTCCGTTTTTCCATTTGGTGCTTCTTTTTCTGCCTCCTTTTTATCTGTTCAAATCATCATTATACGGGAATTCAAAATAACAACTAAGTATTTGTAATTCAACAAAGTTTTTTTTGAGGAAAATCCACGCCCGAACGTACCTAACATGTTCAGAAAACGTTTCCCGTTTATATGCTTCCATATATGTTCCTCCGTCTTGTTGATTGTATCCCCCGTCAATCTGCATATTAACTTGGAACTGCAACACAACCAACAAAAAGCAATTTTTTTATTTTTTTTTTTCAAAAAAGTTGTCTTCTTTGTTCAATCATAATTCGGCTAACCAATTTACTCCATCAGATACAGAAACAAAACACGTAAAGCAATAAAACTAACTTAAATGGCTTAAACTGTACGAGAAAGTAACAAAAGATTGAATCTGAACAGTCTAAAAATCCTTTCTTGTCATAAATTCATAATTCCGTAGCTAAAAAAAAGAAGCACAATAAAGACCCGTAAATAAATTACCGGGCGGCCGGGTCTTGCTTGAACATGTTGAGGGGTGGCTTGTTCCGAGCGAGGGCGGCGTCGATGAGCCCCAGACGGCAGTGCTTGGAGTCGGCGTAGGAGTCTCTGGCGTGACGCGGCAGCTCGTGGCCGGTCTCCACGCACTTGAGCCGGCCATTCTCCAGCTGCTCGAAAGTCGGCGCGCCGAGTAAATTGTGTCCTTCCTTCAGCTCGCTCGGGTTAGGGCTTTCTTCGCCTCTCTTCTTCCCCATGGCGCTAAACACTGAAAAAAAAATCTGTTTTAGGGCTGCTCAGCAATTTTACGAAGACAAACAAACCTTTTTTTATCTTTTTCCTTCCCTTTTAACCATAGTGCGACTTTATGTGTTAGAACCACGATTTTTTACCTTCAAAATAACACTTGTGAAAGCTCGCATTTTGCTTGTTTTATATTTAAATTAAATGAGTTGAGCTCGAAATTTAATAGAGTTTGTTTATTAAACGAGCTAAATGAATTTGATTGCAAAAGACTCAATTTATTTTTATATATTTTATAAGTTTCAAAAATAATAGTCTTAACCGAACTTATTCACGAACAACTTGCTTAAAATTTTAATCTTATTAGACGAGCCAAATTGAACTCGAACCGAATCGAGTCAGCTTATTATTAAAAGGCACGGGCTCGGAGCGAGCTGCTCGACTCTGCTCAACCCGAATAACACGTGCCGATGGGGCCAAAAATCCAATATACACTGTGCAAGAAAACTCATTAAAAATTTGATAACTAATTCTTGACTACAACATTTTGTATACAACTTGCCATGAAACTTTTTTTTGATGACTTTGACAAATGAATGTCCCAATTTTGAAAAATCAGTTTGATCCAATTTCCAGCATAGCACAATCTTAGGCATAAATGCTACCATCTTTTCAATGGAGCACTCATACCATAGTTTCTGTAAGACAACACAAATTACACATTCGAAAAATAGGATTCTCTATACACATTTCAATTTCTGAGTTATTCATCACAATCCTAGGCAGCACATGAAAGGAAAATCCATTATAGTTATAAATTATATTTCATACAATAATCGGGTTGTGGGAATATTGGTCACGGACGGTATCCTTCGGGAAGAGGAACAACCTTGTGGAATGGTACTAACCGTTGAGGCAAAGATCCATCCTCTTCATCGTCGTCAAATTCCAACACATAACTGAAAAAAATTAAGGGGGCAAAGAATCATAAGTGGAAAGGATTAGGGGATAAGGAAAAAGATTAGCCTTGCAATTTAGCATAATTCACACAAGCCCGATTATCGTTCAGTTTTTATATAAATGAGGCTCATGTTTTCAATAACAAATATTAAGAAAGTGCTTTTTATTTCTGCAATTATCCTATTCAAAGTGAAAATTATTAGCTCAATCTTGTATAGCCATCTTTTTTCTTTCTCTTTTGTGTGTCATCTGAAAGAAGTAAAATCAAGAAAGAAAAGTAATGCTACTACTTACTCATCAATCTTCCTCTATATGACCAAAATTCACGAGCCCACACATGTAAAACAACCACGAATTAGTTAATCTTCATCTTCGCTTTTCCAGACGAGTAAAATCAATAATGAGCAACAAAAACTACCTTTCGAGGCTGGACTACAGTTGCTTTATATAGTGTTGTGGTTTCGGGATAAACAGCCAAAACATGTTTTCCCGGAGGGAAATCGGGGACATTAGCAAGGTCATTCCGTTTTGGAAAAGGTATTATATGAGACATAGGCAGCTTATATTTTCTGAAAATGCAGCAAGACATATAAGTCAGCAATTAAGATTGTACATTAAATAGTCGCAAGCTCTGAAAATAGAAAAAAAAAGGTCTCTTTAAAAATCATTATCTTCATCGTGAAAGATATTTGGAACGGAAAATTGTTAGTAGCCCCAAAGTAAAACATCATGAAAACAAAATCATTATTTTCACCTGAATTGTCAGGTTGTAGATATTATCTAATTAGGCGCAAAGCATTTTAAGAAAATTATTTCCAGTCAAAATAAATGAGTTTTTCTTGGAGGCAGACTGCCACAGAGATAAATTGAAGGAAAAATAGACTATTAACTGGAGAAGTATAAAATTTTTATTTTTTTCCTTGAGAAAAAAAGAAGACGAAGTCAGAAATTCGACAGTATGAATGATTGATTAATAGACCAAATTAAGAAGGTTGAGCATAGAAATACACACCTCTGCCCAGTGCTCTCTTCATCATCCCCTGGTTCTTCATCCAATACCTCAAATCTACATAGAAAATACGTACAACTATCTAAACCGAACAAATCAGAAAAATATCAGGGTAGTAGTTTTAACTTGATATTATTTCAGTTTTATATCAATGCTTTGCTGCCAGTAAAGTGGGCCCACAGTTAAAAGCAGCACTTACTGTCTTGTTTCTTTGTCAAAATGAATAACTTTAACCACAAACCACTCATCCTTTCCAGCTTCCTCTTGAGTGATCCGTGCTGCCACCTAAATCACGAGCAACTCTCAAATTTTTCAATGTTAAAAATTAAAAATGATCCGAGAAGATGAATTATGTAAAAGCTGGCCCACATACTTGTTCACCCTTCAAACTCGCAAGAGCCTCTAAATGACTACGCATAGGCTGAGAGAGTCTCGGGACTTCCGAATCTGCCTTCACCTTCTTTTTCTTCTGCTCACTGCCTTCTGTGGGCAATACAGTTTTTAAAAATTAAATCGACAAGAGAAAAGAATCCAAAAACTAAATTGTTTTTTTACATGCCCCCAACGTTGAACTCGATTCATCTTCTCAATGTCAAAGTTAGCAAAATCAGAGGAGATGCTTTGGGTATATATAAACAAAATATGATCTTGTGTGTAAGCCTAACCAAGAGAATGAATTTCAAGCTGATTTTAATTTATGGACTTTGAGCTACTAGCATGAAAATTATCTAACATATACACAAAACCACCAATTGGAGATTTATTGCTCATCTCAAGTACACACCTATCCTTCGCCGGTTTTGCCCTTGAGTTCCAGAAGGCAGCAATGCATCAATTTGTCCCAACAGTTGGCTGGAAATACTGCACAAACCCAGAAAAAGAAGCAGTTGGGTTCCCCAAAAAAAAAATTATTCTTTCGGGTGGTTTGATATCTTTATATATGCGGGAGGCAATCAAATATAAAGAATGGTAATGATTGCCAAGTAAAGAGACGTTTTTTTAAATCTTCCCCCCAAAATTCGAAGGAAATTTCACTAACTACGAAAATTCGAAGAAAAGGTTCGAGTCAAAAGTCAAAACATACGTCACTTCACTCTCAGACAGCTCTTTGGCTTGAGTATATAACATTTTCAGCCTTGAAAGTGAGTTATCACCAGGCTTTTCAACTACTTCTGGAGCTGCATGCCAAAAAGAAAAAAGGCAAATCCTCAGCATAGAGTTGTGTAATAATCATGAATCTGATCCCCATAAATGTGAGATCACTCTACCCCAGCCAACATAAATAGGTGATTATTTTTCGTAACAAATCATATGGTAAAAACTGATCCTACCAATCGTTACAATTACGCATAAGGTAAGCTGCATAATTACATCAATGCACTTGCAGTGGATTCATATTAACACACATATTATACACAGAAGCACATAATCCACAAGCAATAAACTGGGCTGATAAGCTTTGGGACTATTAATTGCATAAAGCCAATTCATAAGCAATTTTTTTTTTTCCATCTCAATCACAAAAATCCCAACATAATCAGAACAAGATAATAAAGACTTTTTTTTTTCCCCTAATTCAAGAGTTAACAGAAAAGGATAATCCACAATTCGGACATTGAATAAACAATATCCCATAAAACCCATTAGCTGATAATACCAGTGCAAAATGAGGAATAACAAAATTATTACGGTGGGACCGATACACACTAGATTGTAGCTTCTTGTGCATCTTGTTGATCTCGAGGAGCACCTCTTCCTGCTCTTTCCTCAGCCGATCGAGCTCCTTCGAGTTGTCCAGCATTCCGGCGATGTCCGGCGACGACATCGTTTTGTCCCCAGAAAAATTTGGGAATGTTACTAACTGAAAACTCAGAGTTGGATTTTGAGTTTCTTTAGAGGTAAATCGGAACGATTTCTTGTGGGGAAAATGGTGGAGAGAGGCCGGAGATTTTTGGATTTAGCTATTAGTTCTCGCAATTTGATTTGGGGGTCAAAACATGGGAGCTTATGATTGTGCCACGTGGCTTGTAACGGTCAGCCGGAGCCAGAACCCGGTTTGACGCCGTCGGCGAGGAATTTCCACCGGTGCGGTGTTTTCTATTAGTGGTTTGTCTAAATGGTACTCGCCGGTATTATATTGGTAAAAAATACTAAAATCAGTTTTATAAGCATTTATTCGCCCATTTTCTCATCATTTATAATTTATTTTTTTATGTAAATGTCACTATATAATAATGTTTCATAGTTTTTTTTTTTTTGTTGATTTTTTTATGCATTATATTTAAGTTATTAATATCACATTTCTAGTAGCCATGTCATATGGATGTTAAAATTTGAACAAAATAAATAGTTAGAACTTGAAATGTTATATTTTTAATTATTTTTATTTTTTAAAATATGAAATTATATATATAAGTATAAATATTTATTTGAAAATACAGCTGAAATTACTATCACACTCAATTGATCTATGGGCATACAAATAAAAAAACAAAGTTAAAAAAAAATGCTATTTGATTTATTCTTGTATGAGGATATTTTACTAGCCTCTACTTAGTAACAAAAAACAAATACATTATTAACACAAAATATAGAGTATGATTTTTTTTTCCAATCGGCATAATATTATAAAGAAAAATATATAATTACAGATGGATTACAACCGGTAACATTCAGAATACGTAGCTACACAGCTAAATTCTTGGAAGGACGACCCAAGAGGCCAATTAGCCGAATACACACAATACACCCACAAACTCCCAACAGGAGAATTCGACTCTCAAAAAGAGAATACAGCTGAAAATACAACTCATAGCAGAAAAATAAACACTATAAATTCGTTAATTAATTAAACAAATACAAGTCAAATCACTAGTGTTTTAAAGCAAAAACAAAACAAAAGGATGAACTTTATGTAGGCCTGAAAATTTTTATGCTTGCACTAACCAGGTGACAATGGCGAAATCGTTGAGCCTGCATCTTCTCCTCCACCTCCGCCGCCCCACACCGATGCAAACTTATTCGACGACGCCGCTCCGCCTCCTCTCCGCCCGGCCGAAACCCCTAAACCACGCGTCCTCAAAATTATTATCCACCACCGCCACACCATACCCGCTCCAATACGAAATGATAGTCACCCGCCCCGCCGCCGACATCCCCCGGAAGCAACCCATCAGGCGCCGCTCACCGGCCGCCCTCCCCATACCCCAAGCCGGAGACTCCGGCCCGGACCCGGACACGGGTTTCGAAGCCTGGGTCGACCAAAGGCTTTCCAGCAAAGGCACCGAAAGTGACAGCAGCAGTAAAACAGAACCGGTGGTGATGGACAAGGCCAAGAGAAGGTATTACAACAAACGGAGGAAGAGAATGTACGGGGAATCTGATTCCGACGAGGAAAGCGGCCGCCGGGGGAAATCCGGCGGCGATTTCATCGAGCTGAAGCAGGAGGTCGTGGAGCTGCACTCCGTGCACAAGCGGGAGGAGGAATTGTACTTCCACGATGCGTTTGCTTACCCTTGGGAGAAAAACAAGCACTACAAGATGGTTTATCAGCTGGAGAAGAAGTACTTTCCCGACCAGTGCTTCGATAATGCATTTCTCGACCCGGGAAAGCCGAACCAGAAACAGGGGAGGAGGAAGAAAGAGGAGGCTAAGAAAGAAGTTGGGGGTGAAGATATGAAAGCAGCAGGCGAGGATGATAGAGGGTTGGTGTTTTTCGAGGAGAGTGAGAAGGAAAAAAAGGAACTGCGTGTTGAGGATGTTACAGAGAAGAAAGTGGAGGATTTCTTCAAGTGTTTGAAGAAATTCCCCAATGAGTCCGGTGGGGATGCAGCTGAAGCTGCAGACCCGTTTCTCTCGACAAGAAAAGTCGGGCTTCCGCCTAAATGGGACGGGCCGTATGGGACTGTGGTTCTGGTGAACAAGCCTAAAGGTGTGGCCTTCTTAATTCTTGTTATGTTGATGAATTTCGTTAAGCTATTCAAGCGGGTTGTGATGTTAAAGCATGAAGTTTAATGATATGTATAGCTTGAAATGCTATGTGGTTGGAAGAAGAATTTCTGAATAGTGGAGAGAGCCTTTTCATTTCTCTTGTGATACTTGCATTTCGACATTGTTCCAAAACTAGGAAATAAACTAAAAAACATAAGACGGTTTTGATACAGGTTGGACTTCATTTACAGTTTGTGGAAAGCTTCGGCGCCTGGTTAAAGTAAAGAAGGTGATTAATGTATTTTAACTTGATGATGGATTTCATCAATCATTTTTGTTGATATTAATATTTATCTACTAAATTTTTGCAGGTTGGCCATGCTGGAACGTTGGATCCTATGGCAACCGGTTTATTGATTGTATGTGTTGGTAAAGCCACAAAGGTAGTCGACAGGTAAGCCTGTGATTCAAATATAGGGAGCTTCTTGATTTCATTTAATTATTCTTGGATTAATGTTTATTAATGCTCTTTCTCAAAATACAAGTACGTTCTGTGCAGATATCAAGGCATGATAAAGGGTTACAGTGGGATATTTCGCTTAGGGGAAGCTACCTCAACCTGGGATGCTGATTCGCCTGTGAGTTTACTTTTTTTTTTCTTGAATTTTTGTATTGCCTAATACTATGTTTTTCTCAAGGTCTTGAAGTTGAGTGGTTTATTAACATTCTAAAGAAAAGAAATTGGGTGAATCTATTCTGAAAGAACTTGGTCACTAGTTGATTGTTGTATGTAGAGTCTCAAACAGTTAAATTTCTTTTTTTTTTTACTATTTTTATTTTATTTTTTTTTTTTTTCAAATAAGGGGAAAGTTTTAGAATTTTGTACATTCAGGTCATCCAAAGGGAGCCTTGGGAAGATATTAAGGACGCAGATATAAAGAAAGCTGCAGCATCCTTTCGTGGGGAGATATGGCAAGTCCCCCCAATGTTCTCTGCTATCAAAGTAAGGTTTTAGCCACGCGAACATCTGATGATTTTATTTCACTCCATTTCATTTGTTCATTTATTATGATTACAATATTCTTTTATGTGGTAGGTTGGAGGGGAGAGGATGTATGAGAAAGCTAGAAAAGGAGAAAGCATTGAACTTTCACCTAGAAGGATTTCAATCTTCAATTTTGACGTTGAACGAAGTTTAGATGACAGGTTCTGATAATACCCCACTTATTTAATCCCAGTGTTTACGCCAAAGCTTTGATATAATAATTATTTGCAATTTTTGCATATTTAATTTTATCTGTGCAGGCAAAATGTGATTTTCCGGGTAACTTGTTCGAAAGGAACATATGTTCGATCTCTTTGTGCTGATTTTGGGAAGGCTCTCGGCAGGTAGAACACAAATGGTGTTTTACTGTTTTCTAATCTCGTTATCGTGTGTTACTTGGAAAATAAGAGATTAACCGAGATCTAACTGGAATTTACCCTGTTTTTTCACTGTTACAGTTGTGCACATTTGACGGCCTTGCGTCGGGATTCAATTGGTGATGCCCCACAAATGCTTTTTATCTTACACTTGTGCTGTTAATGGAAACAGAAAGATTTCTCATGAATTTGTGGTTAAATATGTTTACTAAAGTTAAATGTTTTTCTAGTTAAGCAGCAGTGATATCGAGTACTTCCGATTGAAAATTCCGATTGCTTTTTATCCACACTCATATAATACACTCCTTTCACAGTTGCATATTTTCATAAGTATCCTGCATTTTACAGGTGAATATTCAGCTGATGATGCATGGGAATTTCAGGAGTTGGAAGAGGAAATTACCAAAGGATATATGTAGTTGCCTTTCTTGTCAATTGTTATCATATTATTTGCTGCTGGACATGAGGAAATGCATTTTTTTTGGTTGCAGTTTTTGTTACATGTTTTTTTCTTTACATATATTTGAGGAACAAAGTTTAAATTTAGGGTTAATTGCTAAATAAACCTTAATCTTTTTGCGTTTGGCAATTTTATCCCAAACTTTGGGTAATTGCAATATAATCTCGACCTCAATTTACTTATTACAAGTCGAACTTAAAATCGGTTGGACCTTCAAAAAATTGGTCGATTTGAAGGCGATTCGAACAGATCGGAGCTCATATTTATCGATTCACTCCAGATCTAGGAGGATACTCATCACCGGTAGTTTATATTGTCGTAGAATTTTCGGCTTTGTGCGTGAATATACATTAAATATGTGGATATTGTCAACTTTCTACGTGGATGACATAAAAATCTGTGTCAGTGGAAGACTTGGACACAAAATCGATCCACAAATCCGTAAAATCAATCACTCTGCACCAAATTTTGCAATAAGTAAATTGAGGTCGAGATTATATTGCAATTACCCAAAGATTGAGATAAAATTGCCAAACGCAAAAAGGTTAAGGTTTATTTAGCAATTAACCCTTAAATTTATGAGGATATTGTTTGATGTTTAGTGTTTTATGCAGCAAAACTGAAGCCTTTTTTTTTTTTCTTTTTTTTTTTAATCAAAGATAATAAACTGACTATATATAAGGAGTTGACAAACTATAAACACAACTTAAACACTCTCATAAAAAGAGATTAAACCCATTCTCAATAAGGGACTAAACTGACACTCAAGAGTCCATACAAAGAAGACTAACTATACAAAAACTAAACTGAAGGCATTAGGACACTATAAATTGGAACAGTTATCATTTCTATTAATACCCAGAATCTAAGGGCAGAATTTCTGAATTTGAGTCTAGAGACAAAAAAGGGCTAGTCGAGATTCAACATGAATGAAAAAAACAAAAAGACAACAGTGAAAAAAGTTCGCCTCCATTTTTCTATCTTTTCATGCAAATTTGCATATACGGTTCACCTAACGAGCCCCAGCTGTTGTGTTTGGAAGTTCGATTCCCATAGCCTCAAAGTATGATTTTTCAGCCGCATTCATTCGATCTTCAAACATACCCCATTCTCTTCTGCATCTCTCTCGTACCTAAGGAGAGAAAACAAAGAGAGAATTCTATTTCTTGCAATACAATTTATAGTCTTGCACAAAAAAGTTAGAGACAAATGAAACTCCAATAAATTGTCAAATTGTAATAAAAACATATACAAGAGCTTAGTCAAACTGTCGTACCCCTTCCCATGGTGCCTTGCCGTTCTCTGCTTTACCCTGCATAGCATTGAAAGAATAATTAAAAAGAACTAACAGATAGAGAGAAAAAAAAGAAAAAAAACATTGAAATGAGATATTATTACATATATATACCTGATTCCCAAGGGAAGGAACAGTTTGGTGCACAATCCATTGAGAATCTACGACTCCAATTTTCTCGTGTGCAGGCTGTTTTTTTTTTTT